CGGAGCCAAGAAAGAATTAAAAAATATATATATATCTGTACATAAATCAGCTACAGCGAATGCCTAACTGCAGACCAGCCTCAGTCACCCAACTCATGTCCTAGACATCTCTCCCAAATAACAATCAGTGTATGCTCAGGGAATGTATTTAAATATTAAGCTAAAGTTAGAGGGGGAGAAAAGGGAAAAGATGAGAAGGGGAAGAAGTGACTGTTTTTTTTGCTGGAGTCTCATACTACAACATCCCTCCTGGGATGGAACAAGTAGTGTGAAGAAATAGAAGAAAGCGGGGGCAGCCAGATGGTGCAGTGGATAAAGCTCCAGCCTTGGAGTCAGGAGGACCTGCGTTCAAATCCGGCCTCAGACACTTGACACTTACTAGCTGTGTGACCTTGGGCAAGTCATTTAACCCCAATCGCCTCACCAAAAATAAATAAATAAATAGAAACCCACCTTCTAATGGAAGGCTTTCCTAAAAAAAAGGGGGGGAGCAGCTAGGTGGCACAGTGGATAGAGTACCGGCTGAGTTCAAATCCTGCCTCAGACCAAACACTTGACACGTACTAGCTGTGTGACCTTGGGCAAGTCACTTAACCCTGACTGCCTCACTTAAAAAAAAGAGGAAGAAGAAAGCAATGGAATAGAAAAGACAAGAGTTTTCTTCAAGAAAATTAGAGATTTCAAGGGAACGTTTCGTGAAAAAATAGGCATGATAAAAGACAAAAATTGTAGGGACTTAACAGAAACAGAAGAAATTAAGAAGAGGTGGCAAGAATACACAAAAGAATTAAACAAGAAAGATCTTAACATCACCGGTAACCATGATGGTGTGGTCAATAAATAGAGACAGACATCCTGAAGAATGAAGTCAAGTGGGTTTTAGAAAGCATTGTTAACAATAAAGCAAGTGGAGGTAATGGAATTCCAGCTGAGCTATTTAAAATCGTAAAAGATGATGCCTTTGAAGTGTTCCACACAATATGCCAGTAAATTTGGAAAATTCAATAATGACCATTTTGATTGGAAAAGATCAGTTTACATCCCAATCCTAAAAAAGGGCAATGCAAAGAAATGTTCAAATGACCAAACAATTGCACTCATTTCACATGCCAGCATGGTTATACTTAAAATTCTGCAAGCCAAGCTTTGGCAATATGTGAACCGAGAATTACCAGAAGAGCAGTTTGGTTTTCAAAGAGGCAGAGGAACTAGAGACCAAATTGCCAACATTCACTGGATCATGGAGAAAGCAAGGGAGTTCCAGGAAAACATCTACTTCTGCTTCTTAGACTATCCTAAAGCCTTTGACTATGTGGATCACAACAAGATGTGTTAAGTCCTCAAAAAATGAGAGTACCAGATCATCTTACTTACCTCTTGAGGAACCTGTATGCAGTCCAAGAAGCAAAAGTCAGAATCGAACACAGAACAACTGATTGCTTTAAGATTGGACAAAGAATACAAAAAAGCTGTATACTGTCACCTTATTTATTTAACCTATATGCAGAGCACATTATATGAAATGCTAGGCTAGATTAATTAAAGGTTGGAATTAAGGTTGGCAGGAGAAATATCAACATTTTCAGACATGCAGAAAATACCACTGTGACGGCAGAAAGTGAAGATAAGAACGATACTCCCAAAAACTTTCTCATTATTAGGGCAGTTAGAAGGAGTATACATAGACAGAGGGCACAGGTATTAGTTGAATATGATGGGATGATTATCCAAAAAAAATAAAATTAACAGGTGAGAAAGAATACACTAGGAGAAGGTAAAAGGGACAGACAGAATGAGGTAAATTATCTGACATAAAGGAAGCCCAAAAGAGAGGGGAAGAAGGGGGAAAAGGGGAAGGTAGCACATGAACCTCACTCTCATTGGAACTGTTTCAAAGAGGGAATAACATACATACTCAGTTGGGTTTAGAAATCTATCCTACCCTAGAGGAAAGTAGGAGGGGAAGGGGATAAAAGAAGGGGATGGTAGAACTGAAAGTAGGGAGGATGGACTGGGAGAGGTTAAAGTCAGTAGCAAAACACTTTTAAGAATGGACAGGGAGAAAAAAAAAAAGAATGGACAGGGTGAAAGAAAGAGTAGGATAAACAAGGGAAAAACAGGATGGAGGGAAATACATAGTTGGTAATCAATACTGTGAAAAAAAAATTTTTACAGCAAGTTTGTCTGATAAAGACCTCATTTCTCAAATATATAGAAAAACGAGTCAAATTTATTAGAATACAAATAATTCTCCAGTTGATAAATGGTCAAAGGATATGAACAGGGAATTTTCGGAGAAAGAAATTAAAGCTATCTATAGTTATATGAAAAAAATGCTCTAAATCACTATAACAAAAATGAAAATTAAAAGTACTCAGAGGTACCACCCCATACCTATCAGACTGGCTAACATGACCAAACAAAAAAAAGGAAAATGACAAATGTTGGAAGAGAGGCGGCACATGTAGGATGAGACATTAACGCACTGTTGGTAGAGTTCTATACTATTCTGTAGAGTAATATGAAACTATGCCCAGAGGGCTATAAAACCATGTATATATACCCTTTGACCCAGTGATACCACTACTAGGTTTGTATCCCAAAGAGATAAAAAACAAAAAGGAAAAGGACTTATATGAACAAAAATATTCATAGCAGCTCTTTCAGTGGTGGCAAAGTAGAAATTGATGGGATGTCCATTAATAGGAGAATGGCTAAACAAGTTGTGGTAGATAATTATGATGGAATAGTATTGTGCAATAAGAAACGATGAGCAGGATGCTCTCAGAAAAACCTGCTAAGACTTAAATAACTGACATAGAGTGAAATGTGCAGAACCAGAAGAACACTGCACACAGTAACAGCAATACCATAAATGATCAACTGTGAATGACTTAGCTATTCTCAGCAATACAATGATCCAAGAAAATTTTGAAAGACTTATGATGAAAAATGCTATCCATCCCCAGAGAAAGAACTGATGGAGTTTGAATGCAGATTGAACCATACCTTTTATTAAACTTTATTTTTCTTAGTTTTTTTGTTCTGTGTCTTTTCACAACATGACTAACATGGAACTATGTTTTGTATGAGTGCATATGTATATATAACCTAAATCAAATTGGTTGACGTCTCAATGAGGGAAGAGGGGAGAGGCAGAGAGAAAGGGGGACAGGGAGAGTGGGACTGAGAGAATCAATCAGGAACTCAAAATTTTTAAAAACCAATGTTGAAAATTGTTTTTACCTGTAATTGGGGGAAAAATTTAAAAAAAAAAAAAGATTTTTGCTCCTTGGAAGGAAAGCTAGGACAAATCTGGACAGCATACTAAAAAGCAGAGACATTACCTTGCTGACAAAGGTCCGCATAGTCAAAGCTATGGTTTTTCCAGTAGCAATGTATGTCTGTGAGAGTTGGACTAAAAGGAAAGCTGAGCACTAAAGAACAGATCTTTCGAATTGTGGTGTTGGCAATGCCTTTTGAGAGTCCCTTGGACAGCAAGGAGATCAAGTCAGTCAACACTTAAAAAAATTAATTCAGGTTATTCACTGGAAGGTTAAATACTGAAGTTGAAGTTTAAATATTCTGGCCACATAATGAGAAGATGGGACTCAGTGGAAAAGACAGGATGTTGGGAAAGATTGAAAGCAAAAGGAAAAGGGGACGGCAGAGGATGAGATGGAGAGTCAGACAGAACAACAACAACTCACATTAGGCTCTGAATGTATGAATTAAGAGGAGAGGAGAAAGGAAAGAAAGGGAAAAGAAGAGAATGGAAAGGAGGAAGAGAAGGAGAAGAGAGATGGAAGATGGGAAAAGGAGTGGGAGAAAGGAAGGAGGAAGAGGAGGGAAGCCAGGGGTAAGAAAAGAAGGAAAAAGAGATGAGGAAGGGTGGAGAGGGGTTGGGAGGATTAGAAGGAAGAGGAAAAGTGGGAATAAGAAGGAAGAGAGTAAAAAAAATGGAGAGGAGGGGGAAGATAAGAAGGAAAGGAGGAATAAGAAGGGGAGGAGGAAGGTCGGATAAGAATGAATAACTGAGGGAGAGGCAAGAAAGAAGGGGCAGGGAAAGGAAGAACAAGAGGGGAAGAAGGAAAGCTAAGAAGGGAGAGAGGAGGAGAAGGATAAGAGACAAGGGAGGTTAAGAAGGAAGACATATAGGAGAGGATGAGAAAGTAGGGGAGGGAAAATAAGAAGGGGAAGGGAGGGGAGGAGAAGAGAAGGATAAGAGGGGAAGAAGAAGAGAAAATAGGGGAAGAAGCGAAGGAGGGGGAGGGGGGGATAAGAAGAGGATGGGAAGGGAGAAGGAAAGGGGAAATAAGAATGAGATAAAGAAGGAGAGAAGAGACAAGAGAGGATAAGAAGGGGAGGGAGGGAGCATGAAAAGAGAGAGGAAAAGGGGCAATAAGAAGGGGAGGGGAAGAATAAGGAGCAGAAGGAGGGAGGACTGTAAGGAGGAGGGGAGGATAGTGAGGAGGAGGGGGGAGAATGAGGAGGAGGGAAGGCGGCCGGAGCCCGAAGCTCCAAGTCCAATCCGGGCCTTTACTTCCTGACGCCCAGGGGCCCAACAAGTGAGTCTCTACTTACAAACTGGCTCCTACGGTCTCTCCTGAGCCCAAGAGGCATTTTCGTGGCCGGGGAGGAGGAGGGCTGCGCTACGGTTGTTAATGACCCCTCTCTCCCCCAAATCACCGTTTTCGCCCAGCCCAAAGACCTTAACCAGCAAGCTTTAGGACCAGTGCTAGCGGAGCTCCAGACGCTTCGCCTTCGCTACGGAGCCCGCACCAAGGGCTCTCGGCATTGGCTCCCGCTTTCCCGCTGACCAATCAACGGTGCGCTCACTGCCACGCCGCGGGCCCTTGGCAACCGGAGGGGCTCGTTCGAATGCGCTCGGCGCCCGCTGAGGCTGCGAAACCTCGTCGCTCGGCTTCCTATTGGCCAGTGCTGACGTCCGTCTTCCCTAGACTGGGCGTTCTGGAGGAAGGAAGGCGGGAGAAGTTGGACACGAAGGGCTCTCGCGTCTCTGGCTGCGGCTCCAGGGGTCGGGCGGAGGCGGCTGCGCAGGTGGTGAAACGCCAGACAGACCAGCGCCGGAGGGAGACTCCTTCCCTGAGCGAGTTATTGAGACTTTTTCACCAAGGTAAGGATCCCTGAGATCCCTCTGGTTCTAATTCCCCCCCCCACACACAAACACCGGGCGGGAGGAAAAGGAAACTGAGGGTCCCCGAAGGAGAGAAACTTGCCGGGACCCCAAGCCCTCAAGGCAGGGTTTTTTGCCTTTCATTGTATCCCTGGCTGTTAGCGGTGTCAGGCGTGTACTGGGGCGTGATAAATGCTTGTTGACTCACTGAGTCATGATAGCTTTCGGCTCTTTTCAATTATCTTATTTTTATTGATAGCTTTTTAAAAAGAGGAGAGAGAAAAGCAGTTCAAAATTATCCAACATTTCAACCTTGTCTGCAGGTGTAAGCAACATTACGCATCATGGCACCCCACTTTTGCAATGAAATGAGGGAAGCACATTTTTTCATCTTTTCTCCCGGGCCAGGCTTAGCCAGTGTAACCAGTGTCATTACACTGCATGCAAGTTTGGGTTGGTTTTTTTCCTTCCATTTATATTTTTGTAGTCATTGTGGATAATATTTTCCCGGTTCTGCATACTTTGCCTTGCATCTTCAAATATGGTTCAGTAATCCATTTCATTTATATACCATACTTTGGGTTAGCAGTTCCCCAGTGAATGGGCACGTACTTTGTTTCCATTTCTTTGCCACAGCAAAAAAAAAAAAAAAAATGCTATGAATATTTTGGTGTATCTAGTACCTCTCTGTCTTTGACCTTCTTGGGATATATGCCTAGCAGTTGGACCAAATCACAGTTCCATCAGTAGTGTTATCTGTATGCCTCTTTCTGGAGTTCCTCCACCTTGAGGTATTTTGTTTTGTCACCTTTGCAGTTTGCTGGGTGTGAGAAGAAACCTCAGTTATTTTGATTTGCATTTGTTATAGATCTGAGGGGGTCTTTCATATGCTTTTTATTTTTGCAGTTGTTCTTTTGAGAACTCTTTCTTCATACCCTTTAGCAATTTATGACAGCTGTTTCATATGGAAGAAGGATTGCTCTAATTCTTTTTGGTACCCAACCAATCATTTATTAAAATCAAGTATTTACTAAGTGCTGGTTGTTTGCCAAGCACCATACAGCAACAACTAGTGAAAGAAGACAGATATATTTGGTCCCCATATAAGAAAATTTTTTAGGTTAAGAATTAGTTGTCCAACAGTATAATGAACTGGCCCAATCTCTAAAAGCCTTCAGACAGAGGCTGGATAACTACTTGGGATGTTACAGGAAAGGATTCTAGCTTAGCCAAGTATTAAAATTGATAACCATTAAAGTTTTCAGACCTCGAGATTCTGGAACACTGTGGGCAAAGTTGATAAATCCTCATCAGAGCTTGGCCTAGGAGTCAGGATCTGGGTTCATTGCTGTGGTGCTGCCATTGACTCAGTTTGTGACCATATGCCAATTATTTAACCTATATGGCTCTTAGTTTTTTCATTTGTAAAATGAAAGAGTTAGACTAGATAGTCTCTAAGGATCCTTCAAAGTCAAAATGTCTTTTAAGAATCTATGAGGTGGGTAGCTAGGTGGCGCAGTGGATAGAGCACCAGCCCTGGAGTCAGGAGGACCTGAGTTCAAATGTGGCATCAGACACTAGCAGTGTGACTTTGGGCAAGTCACTTAACCCCAATTGCCTCAGCAAAAAAAAAAAAAAGAATATGAGGTAAGGTTTAAGAGACTGTGGAAGGGGTGCCTCTAAAGAGTCCAGACCCCATGGGAAAAGGGTCCTGGACACAGGAAGCATATAAATAAGTGGAGGAAGTGAAGGCAAAGTTAATGAAGACATCCTACTTTAAGGAGGTATAGTATAAGTAGAGCTCTGGAGAGATAAGGCTGGCTTGGGAAATGACAGTGTCCAGGAAGAGAAGATTCACTTGTGAAAGTATGGACTTTATTGGGGAATATGGGGTTTTGTTTTGAAAAATGTGACCATTCAGGGATAGCTTATACCTTTCTCTGGGGAGACGTTTTAGAAACACAAGAGTCTTTAAAATGTCATACATAAAGAAATCAGATTAAGAGGATCATTGTCCTACAAAGGGGCAAAAGAATAGATAGAAATACCAAACCAAACAGCTTAAACACAAAGTTTCAAAATAAGTCAGCATGTCAGTACAGTTTAACATGGTGAGACCAATGAAATTGGCAGAGAACCAATAAAGAACAAGGAAACTGCAAGATTCTTGATAGATGTCTTTAGTGGATGTGTCACTTTTAAATAAATTAAGCAGGAATTGGCAATGCTCCAAAAATCACAAGGTCAAATAAGAGCTTGAAAAAAGTAAACTATTATATGAGAAATTAAGCAAGAACTAAGGGCTACAAAGAAGTGGGGAGGAATTAATGAAGATGATGGCCAATGAAGAATTTTCTATTTTTTTTTTGTTTGTTTGTTTAAACTGGACCCGTGAGAATTCCCTCTACTGATGCAAACTGCTTTGCAGTTTTGTCTAAGAGTTACTTAGAGCACAAAGGAGTTAATGTCTTCACACAGCTAAGATGTTATAGAGGTAGGACTTGAATCCAGGTCTTCCTGACTCCAAAGCCAACTCTCTAGCCGTCATGCCAGGCTGTCTCTATGAATAACATAAGATAAAATAATAAGAATCCTCCAAAAAATCCACTAAAGTAGCAAACAGCAAATTTATTACAATGGAAAACAAATTGCATATGCCAACCAGCTAGAAACATAGGGGCTAGGAGAAAAATCACTGAACTCTAAACTTTCAAAAACCACAACTGTGTACGAAATAGAAACCAAAAGAATAATATACATTATTACTTCAACAGTAATAATGTAAACAGTAAAGACAACACCAAAAGTCAACCAGACTCAAAGCAGGGACAGTGAACAATGTTGTACCAAGGTTTTATAGTTAAAACACACCATTTTCTGGTAACAATTGATAAACTACAAAAGTAGAAATTGATATGTGCTACCTATCAAAATCACTCAATATTGGGTAATTTTAACCATCTTTGGGCAGTGTTCTTTGCACAGGAGGGCATGTAGGTGTTTAGAAAGTGTCTTTTTTTGTCAAAAAAAATCAATTAAGTTTTAATACTTTGAAAAATTAGAAGAGAATACCATAAAAGACTTAAAAATCAGTAAATCATGGAGTAAACATTTATTAAGCATCTAGTAGGTGCTAGACATTATGCTGAGCACTCTATAAATAGTATCTTTTTATATATCATAACACTTTCACAGCTATTTATAGATCAGTTCTTAACCAAACCAAAAAATAGTGGTAACTACAAAAGATAAAATAATTTTGATTACATAAAAATTTTAAAATTTTTCAAAAAGTTGTTACATCTAGGATAAGAAGAATAAGATGGGGGAGGGGGAAACACTTTCTATTAGATTTCTCCAAATAGGGTTTGATATCCTAGATATACAGACAACTAACAAATATGAGATGAAAAGCCAATCCCCAGTTGATAAATGGCTAAAGAATATGAATACTTCTCAAAGAATTGCAAATCATTAATTGCCATGTAAAAGAATGTTCTAAATCACTAATAAAGAAAAATGCAAATCAAAAAAAACCAGAGGTTTCACCTCACAGCTAGTAAATTGACAAAGAGTACAAAATGTGGCATTAGTGCTAGAGGGGTTGTAAAGACAGGCACCCGTGTATTGTTGGTGGAGCTGTACTACAACCTGGAAAGCAATTTGGAATTAGGCCCTAGCTGTCCTGGTTCAAGATGTCTGAAAGGCAGTTGGAGATATGAGATTGGAGATTAGCAGTGAGGTTAGGACTGGATAAATAGATTTGAGAATCATGGACATAGAGATGGTAATTGAATCCATGAGAGCTGATGAGATCACCAAGTGAAATAGTATAGAGGGAGAAAAGAGCCAGGACAGAGCCCTGAGGGACATCTACTGGTAGAGGGTGTGATCTGGAGGAAGATCCAATCAAAAGAGACTGAAAAGAGGTCCCATAGGTAGTAAGAGAATCCAGTAAACAATGACTGCTATAAAGTAATGACTAAAGTGTAAGTAAGTGGAAAGCATAGCCACCACAAAATAATAAAAAATGAATTCTTCAAAATGACAACAAAAACGTTTTTAACATTCATGTTTTTTTTAAATTTTGGGTTCCTAATTCTCTCCCTTCTTCCACTCACCCCTCATTAAAAAGGCAAGCAATTTGATATTGATTATATATGTGCAGTCATGCAAAATATATTTCTATATTAGCCGTGTTGCAAAAGAAAATAGACCAAAACCAAGAAGTTTAGTTTTAAGTAGGCCTCAATCTGCATTCAGACTTTATCAGTTCTTTCTCTGGAGGTGGGTAGCATTTTTCATCATAAGTCCTTCGGAATTGTATTGGGAAGAATAGCTAAGTCATTTACAGCTGATAATCATACAACATTACTGGTCCTTTGTATAAAGTTTTCCTGGTTCTGCTCACTTCACTTTGCATCAGTTCATGTTAAAGTCTTTCCAGGTTTTTCTTAAGTCCACCTGCTCATCATTTCTTATAGCACAATAGGATTCCATCACAATCATCTACCATAACTTGTTCAGCCATTCCCCAAGTGATGGGCATCACCTCAATTTTCACTTCTTTGCTACCACAAAAAGTTGCTATAAATAGTTTTGTTCATATAGGTCCTTTTCCTTTTTGATTTTTCTCTCTTAGGGATACAGAACTAGTGGTGGTATTGTTGTGTCAAAGGGTATGTGTGGTTTAGGCATAATTCTAGATTGTTCTCCAGAATGGTTGGGTCAGTTCACAATTCCACCAACACCGCATTAATGTCTCAGTTGTTCCATATCCATTCAAACAAATGACAATCTTGCTCTCAGAGGAGATAAGAGAAGACATGTCTCCCTATTCCTTTGCAGAGGTGGCAGGTCGATGGATAGGGAACATTGCATATATCATCAGTTTTTTTGGTTGTTTTTTATATTTTTTCTTTCTAAAAAAACATTGTTAAAAAGGATAGAGAAAGGGAGAGGAATACTAGGGGAAATTAGGTAATAGGAAAGCTAACTTCAGTAAAAATATACGTTTTTTATAAATTTTTACAGCTTTAAATGTGAAGCCAATGATTGGATTGCCAAATGAATACAATTTTGCGTTTCTTTTAGTAAACCAACACCATCACTATCAGAATATCATTGATGGAGAAAGAAGCCACATTTTCTAGTACAGGCCTTATACATGTTCCTTTTGGACATGTTGTTGGATGTGAGAAATGGCGAGGGTCTCATTTAGCCCAAGGAATGCAAGGTTAGTATGTAAACTTTTTTTTTTACTGCTTAGTACCCTTTTTCTTCCTGTGTACTTCAATTTATAATGATATAGAATTCATTCTCTTGTCTATTTTAAGGAAAGATTAAGCTCATCTTTGAGGAAGACCTGACATTAGTGGATTTTCACCTTTCTAATAGATTCTGTATTCTTTATATTACTGAAGCAGATCTGGTGGCAGGAAATGGCTATAAAAAAAGAATTGTTCGACTTAGAAATGTAAGTACTAAGCAAATGAAAAATGAGAATTGACTTGTTCTTACCCCTCTCAGAATTGGCTGTAAAATATCCATTCAAGAAACGTGGACCAAGTATGTTCTAGAAACAAATGTGGACTAAAAATATTCCTGCTGTTGAGGTATTTACAGTCTAGTAAGAGGGTGGACATCTATGCAAATATAATACAAGTTAGAATGTAAGTGTATAAAGTATCACCAAAATAACTGCCAAAAATTGAGAGGAATAAGTCTTTAAAGCCAAGGAGGATTGAAGCAGACGGACATTAGGGGTAATATATCCTAAGAGTAGAAAAATAAGCAAAGCATCAGCAGAGCCTCTTGAGATAGGAAAGTGATTATTTATTTGCAGAACTTGTTAATTTTAGATTCCCTATAATTGCTAAAAATTCCAAATATATATACTACTACATCATTCCTCTGCAATTCCAATTTAGTAATAAGATCTTTCTTAGACTTTTAAAGATATCTTAGGTATTAAGTATTAAATTAATTATTAAATTAGTATCTTTATTAAATTAAACATTAGATATTCATATCTAATGATAAAGATATCTTCATTATATCAGTTATTTTTCTTTATTGAAGGCCAGTAATCTTCACGGGATTGTAATAGTTGAAAAAACACAGATTAGTGAACAGTACTTTACAGCAGTGCAGAAATTTGTTGTCCTGGAACTTGGAATGGCATTGCTTCCGGTGTCCAGTCAAATGGAAGCATCCCAGCTTATTATCCAACTGGTAAGTACATAATCACACATTTCTAACTTTTTAAAAAAGAAATTATTTTAAGACCTGAAAGGTCCCTTCATTATAACATCCACCTTTACTTTGACCTAGTGAACAACATCAAAAATCTACTTAATACTATTTCATGAATTAGTAGAAAGCTCTGTTTGGGAAATCCGTGATCAGAATTTCCTTCAATAACCTGAACTTGACACATTTGCAACCTTAAATACAAGTGAATGATCAGCCTTACTGTATAATTTCCCTATTTTGAAATTTAGCTGTCAGTTAACGCTTTTTATATCTAAAAATATTTGGCTCTTTTGTCAATGAAATAACAGTTCTATATACTTACTGAGTAGACTATCAATTTTATAGCATGTATATTTGTCATATGAAATCTTTGATTATTAGACTATGCATTTATCCATATATATATATATATATACACACACATACATACACACACACACACATATATATATATGCACATTTCTGTCCTATAGAAGTTTGCAGTATTTTTCAAAAAAAATTTCTTTTTGCCATAATCTGATGCTGTCAAATAGGTTTGAACAACATATAAACCAGGGGGGACCAGAGTCCCCCATGTATCAACATCTCAGTCTCACTAGATCTGCTGTCTAAAGAGCTTCAGTTCCTCCTAGGAGGGGAAAGCTGTCCTCAGGTGACACTGAGTCACCATCTTGAACAAACCCAGCAGAAGTATGGTCTGCACTAGCAAAATAACTAAATTTGAGGGTCCTCAAGTTTTGTTTAACCAGGAAAATGAGTTTTCAGAGAAAGGCTGTAGGGTATCAAAGTAATTTAGAGGTTTTTATCACTCTTCTTTAATTTAATTCTGTCATGATAATTCCCAGACTCAGGTGTCATTATAGAGACAGGAGAGAACTCTCCTTTTATGATTAACTCTTGCATACCATGTTGGTTCAGAAATACTATGTGGAGCACTTTTTGTAAAGGGAGTTCAGATTCACCTTGACTAATATGAGACTAAATTTTACTTGAATGAGTGAATAGACTAGTCTTTTCAAACTAACATATTGATGGTTTTCACAATATAAAAAAGTTCTTATTAAAACAAAAGCATTTTTTCTTAAAGATTGCAATATTAAATTAGTTTCAACAAATATTTCCTAAGTACCTACTACATGCAAGTTAGTTTGCTAGACCCTGGTTATAGACAAATAAGATAAATGACATTCTGGGTCCTGAAGTGAAGCCCTTTGAATGTTTGGATTTGGTCAAAGGGCCACACTTAAGAACCTAGCAGGCCACTTGTGGCCTTGAGGCTGCAGGTTCCCCACCCCTGCCCTAGCCTGAAGGAGCTTACACTCTACTAGGAAAATATAACATATACACAGATAAGTATAATACAGGCTAGATATGTATCACAGGAAAGACCCAAAGTGCTTTAGGAAAATTTGAGGGGGGAATCAATCATTTCTTGTTTGGATATTTGGGGGGAGAGGGAGGAATGAACAGGGAAAGATGTGGTCCCTCAACCAGGCTTTAAAGGAAGAGAACTGTAAAGAGCCTCTCAATTCACAGAGGTGGACGTGTGTGTTGATTAGAAAGGCAGGTTAACACCAAATTGTGAAGGGCTTTAAGGGCCAGAATCAGGAGATGAAATTGTTTAACCTAGAGACAGCAAGAAACTGCTGAAGATTTCTGAATGATTTGGTTATACTTGTGACTTAAAATTTTTTTAACAGTGGAAAAAGGATTAGAAGTCAGAAGACTACAGGCTGGGAGACCAGTTAGAAGGATATCGTCACAGTCCAGGCAATAGGGGGCTTACCTAGGGTAGTAGCAGTGACATTAGAGAAAATGGAATGAATGCCGAGATATTATGGAGATAGAATCAAAAGAACTTAGCAACTGACTCTGAGGATTCAAGCCTAATTAATACAGAGGTTGGTGGAAAATTTAAAAAGGTTGGTCGGGGGAGAGGGGAAGGTGAGCAGTTCATTTCTGGACATGATGAGTTTGAAGTACCAGGGGAACATCTAAGAGATGTTCAACATATAATTAGAGATGTTCAAAGGAGAGAGAGGAACTAGATATAAAGAATTAGGAATCTGTGGTGTGGAGGTAACACTTAACTGTAGGAGCAGGTGAAATCACCAAGGGAGAGAGTGAGTAGAGGAGAGGGAGCCAAAAACAGCCTTGGGAAAAATCTGTATTTAAGAAAAACAAGTAAAAGAACCAGGAGAGAACAGTGTCAGAGAAACCAAGGAAACGAAGAGTGATCACAAGGCAGAGGTGAATCAAGGTGGATCCTGATGTCAAAGTAAAACTTTTATTAATCCTAAATTAAGAAAATTAAGTTTCTTTTGAGTAAAATGAGCTCAGATTCCTTTGTCTTCAATTTTAGGTCCATGAACAGACCAAAGAGCGAAATAGGAATCCTTTTCTTAGGAAGAAAAGCTGCCAGCTCTCTGAATCATCAGTACTTCAAACAGTACAGCAGATACCAGGAGTAGGAAAAGTGACAGCCCTACTTCTGTTGCAGGAGTTTGCAAGTATCCAAAAACTGTGTAATGCATCTATCCAAGAACTTGAGCAAGTAGTTGGACATATGCTAGCAGAAAAAATGCATACGTTCTTTACCCAGACAAGGTGACAGGACATAAATCTTAAAATAGGTTTTTATCCTCCAGCACCATCAAATCTAAGATTGTGCTTTTCTTTACCTATAGTGAAACCAAGGAATTTACTTTTTCATCGTGTATCGGTATTGAAAGGAAAGGTAAACTTAGAACCATAATCTCTATGCTCATGTTTTAATCAGCTGCCCCTTGGCCGTAGGTCTTAAACTAACAGACCAGACACTGCTGTTTTTGACCAGCTTTCTAATAATTTTTTTTTTGTGATTGAGATGATCAAAACTTGAATGGAACATATCTTTGTTTAAAGGAAATTCATAAATAATCATGTGGCCTTGACTGTAACATCAACCTTTTCAGACTTCCTCAGACATTTCAGATGGTTGCTAAAGTAAGAAGCAATAGTCAATTAAATGTTATATTATCGCAGATGTCTGAGGTATTACATGTAGTCTTCAGTTCTGGTAATAAATTGTAACTGGGGATTAAAGGACTACAACTTAAGTAAAGCTTTTGGTGCCTTAAAGTAACAAGTGTTCAGTCCATGTTAGACATCTAGATAAATCTTGAAGGGGGAAAAATGAAGAGAACAAAGGATAAATTAATAGTTATTTATTTAAATACATAAACTTCTACAAATGTAATGCTAAAGGCACTGTTTGGATACATTTTCACAATGCTCCCTTAGGACTTTAATGATTATGATGAAACTAAAACTTGGATACTCCTATTAACAGTATTAACAGTATGTTTAGCAATTTTTTCTGTATTATTCAGGTATATAGCAAAAAAAAAAAAAGTCTTACATAGAGCTTAAAACTTTCGTCATATTATATTTATTGCAAAGAAAAGTTGAAACAGGCTTTTTTTAGCCAGAGATTTATTCAAGGTGCATTTATGCACTTTCCTACTTTTAAACAAAATGGAAAATGTTTTGAGTATCAAACAGTATGATATCTACCCTGTAGATGGCATTTTCATCTAACACTATTGTGTTAGCAACATGAAATTTTTAAACAGTATGTAAAGTCAAAGCTGGTTCTAAATAGTCTCTGCTGTTAAAATATTAATTATGAAATTTGGCACTAAGTTGTATCTAGAACCTGCACTGTCCTAAAAGTGTGCAGATTTGTCATTCATTTTGTACAGCAATCAAAGTAAAACTTGTCATTGAATATGCAGAACTATTTTTGATAACAGTAATTCAAATCCACTACTGTAGTCTGGATACTAGCTGCCATGTTGTATAGCATTTGTTTGAATTAAAATTAAAGAATTTTTTTTTCAAACTCTAAATCTATTACATAGTGAATATTAGCAATATTAATTTAAAACTAATACAAGGACAAGTAATAAAATTAGTCATGAAGACTGTCCTTCATATTTTCAACACTTTTCTATATACAGGACTATATGCAATAAATAACTTGTAGCAATACACTGACACACTTCACACAGAAGACAGAACGTCTTCTGTAAATCCAGTTTCGACACTTTTGTTTAGGATACAAATGCCACATGCAAGTTTAAAATCTAAGAAAACAGGCTTTAAATATATTAATAAATTTCACATTATGGCACATATATTGAGAGCTACTGAACATTTAGAAATAGCTTCATTTGCTAAAATGTTAATACAGTGAACTTTCTGTATTAAGAAGACCAAAAGGAGAAGGAAGTTTCTTCTTGTTCTGGGGTCTTACCACCCCAACTGATGGGAGACAGAGAGTGCTAGCTGACTTCTGTCTGTTTTTGTTGGTTCCCCAACTCAAAAAAGACAGTTTTTTGGAGATTTTTTTGGTTTTGTCGATTTTATCATCTTCTATGGCTAAGCAGATCATGGAGTAAGTTTTCTGCATTCCCACGGAGTAGGTTGCACATTTATTATGCTGCATAAAACAGAAAAGGGAAAATGTCATCCGTGCGGAGTTATTACATGCTCAAAATAAGAGGTCAAACTTGTGAATCATTTCTTGAGTTTATAGCATTTTACAACAATTGTTTTGAAGTTGAGGCTTACTGAACTTACAGACTTACTGTGGTTTGATTCTAAAAATCACTAAGAGAATAACTAAGTATTAATATCTTCTTAGTAACCACTACTGAAGGATTGCATAGGATTAGAATATGAATCTTTTTTGTGTCTTCAACTCCTTAAGCAGTTCGGTGAAACCTATGAACACTTTCTAGGAGTAATATTTGTTCGTTTGTTTTTTTTCAAGTGCGTAAAATAAAATATATAGGATTACAAAGGACAACAATCATATTGAAATAGTTTGGTTTTTTTTAATTCATAGACCAGACCCCAGGTTAAGAACTCTTGCTCTAAAGAGAGCTAAATAAAGATTTTGAAAAACATTGAGCTACTATGAAAATTTTAAAAATTGCTCATCAACTCTTTTGGAAGAATATAAAACATTTTTCACCTCTTCTAAATTTTCAACTCCTTGCAAAATTCTCATTCCCTCTTCATACTTGAATTAATGACTGAAATAAGCTTTTTAAAAAGCCATCAACATAACAAAGGTTTGAAAACTGATTTGTAAGTTAGGTTTTATGTAAAATACCTACAGTTTTTTAGCTGAACAGAAGGTAGTAAATTCATTAAAGTAATGAGAATAGAGAGAAGCTAAGTGTCATTTCTTACCAGAGAAGATGTTAAATCCAAAAGACTGATGACCTTCATCTCAATATCTTCCTCACCTAAACTTTTCAGTTTTTGCATGATCTCACTCACTGTTAGCCACTTACAATCCATATCTTGAATAGAAACAATATAATCTCCTTCTTTAGCACCTGCCAGCTAGAAAAGTAATATACAAATGATCAATTTTAATTAAAATTAATCACCATCATAAAGTTTACAAATCTACAAAAATTCACCGTAGCACTTAAAGTACTTTTACCTTATTTAAACATAAACCATAAGTGTGTCCTTCAGAGTTGTTTCTCTTTCACAAATATTCTATCTTCCTACAGCCACATTTATTAATTTGTTTAGGTTGCACATATATATTATATATGTGTTAGCAGTTGTGTTTGTGTGTGTGTGTGTGTGTATGTGTATAAAAGCAGTTGAGTATTTCCCCTTGCTCTCAAATCTGCACCTGAGAATACAGTACTTACTGCAGCAGAGCAGTGTGGATCCAGAAAATGAACTTGTACTGGAGAACCTCCTCTCAAAGTGAACCCCAAATCTCCTTCTTCAATGGTAAATTGAATGGTTCGAGGAGCTGTCCATCTCTTATTTGCTGAAAATATAGATAAAGGGCCCTATGGGATACAAAAACATTTTTATCATTTGCATATTAAAACAGACATCTTAAAGTTATGTTTTAAACAACTTCAAGACCACCGTACCCCAGGGACCTGTGCTTGGATGTATGCTGACTCGGATAAAAGCATAGATGAAATGGTATATAGAGTTTGCAGATGAGATAAAGCTAAGAAGGATAATATCAGATGGCAACTGCTACTCTAAAAGTTCTTGACAGGCTAATATGTTGTACCAAATAAGAATTCTAATAGAAATGTAATTCCTACATTTGCAGTCAAAAAAATTCACTTCACAAGATGGGGGAGACGTGGCTGAACAGTAGTTTGTCTGAAAAGGACGTGGGAGTTTTGATGGACTGCTGGTTCCATATGAATCAACAGTGTGATATGACAGCCAAGAAAGCTATTTTGGTAGATCGAGCACTGGCCCTGGAGTCAGGAGGACCTGAGTTCAAATCCAGCCTCAGACCAGAGACTTGACACTAGCTGTGTGACCCCGGGCAAGTCACTTAACCACAATTGCCTTTAAAAAAAAAAAGCTATTTTGATCATAGGCTGAATTAATGAGCATAATATTTAGGAATAAGGAGGTGACAGTTCCATCGTCCTCCATACCAGTTGCTATATCTGATGGTATTCACTTCTGAAGGTCTCATTTTAGGGAGGACATTGACTAGGATCCAGGAGGGCAACCAAGATAGTGAAGGAACTTGATATCATACTATGCAAGGTTCAGCTGAAGGAACTAGAAATATTTGGCCTGAAAAGAAGACTTAGGGGCATATAAAAACCATCCTTCAAGTATTTGAAGAGCTCTCATGTGGAAAGGGAGCTGGGCTTATTCTTGGCTCCAGAGAGCAGCACACTAGGAACAGTGAGCAGAAGTTGCAAAGAGACAAATTTAGGGTTGATGCTGAAAAAATTTCCTAATGATTAGAGCTATCAAAAGGTGTGGGATATGCTGTCTTAGAGGGTAGTGGATTTTCTCTTTGAAAGTCTTCAACCAAAGGCTAGATGACCACTTGTACCCTGAGATTGTTTTTCGTGTTTGAGTTGGACTAAATGGCCACTGAGATCTCTCCACCTCTGAAATTTTGTAAAATAATTTCTATTCTTGAAATCTTCTAAGGAGGTAGACCAGAAGACTTCTGAAATTTCTTCCAGCTATAAATTTATGATGCTATAATAGATAATCTTTAGTGATTGTTTTTCCAGGAGTCAGAGAAATTGACTTCAAAAAGTGGAGGTTTTAATCTAAGGAGATCTTGGACATGTTCCCAAAAATAAGCACTAGGTTAAGGACTAAAACTAAAGTCCTTAGAGGTTCTGATCAACATTTCTGAATTCTGTGATAGTTGCCTTTAAAAGATAGAAAGAACTGCAGAACATAAATAACCAAAGTGCTTGAGATGGTTTCCTCAATCTCATACAACATAAGCTATGTTGTATGCCCTCAATCAAATGAAAGAACCTGTTCTAAAATAGTCATTCAAGGACATCTAGGACATGCGTAGCCACCACCCTCATCCCACCCCTCGTACTCTTCCCCAAAATTAAGGGTTGTCTACCCAAGGAGGTTATTATCACGTGACACTGTGGTGGATCATACCAGCCTCTGAAAGAAGTCTGTCACTACCACCTTGGAAAACTGTGGTGCTATCATCTCAGCTTCCTGCTCTGTTTTAGCTGTAAAAGAAAATTCAAAACATAAGATGACAATTGTCCATAGTCTTCTTGCCTGGCACCCTGCCCACTGAATGAAGGCTAACTGCATCTAGCTGTCCCTAGCCACCCCACTGGGCCACATCTGCCTCTACCTTCCCAACCTGCTGCCTCTACCTTCCCAACCTGATCTCCAGCTCTTACCCTGGGGATCAACTGAGCAGTGAAAATTCACTTCATCTACCCAGCTACCCAGTGTCTACCCCTTGCTCTGGGAACAGTAATCAAATTAATACTTAACATGGCTTCTGAAAATGATGCGTCCATCACTCCATCACCCTATGCCTCTGTTCACCATCCCTGAGACTTCTCCCTTCTCTGACCACCACTCCCTTGTATGTGTTGTTTCTTCCTATCAGAATGTAAGCTCTTTGAGAGAAGGGACTTCTCTTTTTTGTATCTGTATCCCCAGTGTTTAAGAGTGCCTAACACATAGGAGGTACTTAATAAATGCTTATTGACAGACTGATTGACTTCAACTGCATTCTGAGAGAAGTAACTTATGACTATCACCTTTTGAGGCCTAGC